AGTTATGATAATCACTTGGTTTCCATAAATCTGGTACATTTTGTATGTGAATATGAGTTCTAGTGGGAAGCAGTGGCCAGTGGAGTTCTACCAGATCTGTTGTAGAGATATCGTCTCACTCAAGACAATTGGTAAACGGTCACTCAGTGGTCTATCGGTTAAGGGCTTCGGCTCGAGACTGGTAGGTCCTAGGTTCGAATCTCGCGGGTGCGGGATCGTGGATGCGCACTGCTGAAAAGTCCCATAATAGGACGAAACGGCCGTCCATTGCTTCCAGGTCTTCCATGGTGGTCTAGCTTCAATTGACTCATGATTTTAACTGTGAAAATACTAAATTCTCCACAAAACCCCCTCTGAATATGAATTATCAATGAATTTTGAAAGATACTTCAATATTATCAAGCTATTCAATTTTTTTGGAATGTATACGAATTTAAATTCACTTAGTATTGTTTGTTTGAATCTTTTCATTGATGTGTACATATGCCAATAAGAAATTGACCAGTTGCAGTCCTAAAACATAAATAGGAAGATTTCAACAAACAATACTAAGTGAATTTAAACTTCACCCCATCGCACAAGCACGTGTCTATCAGAACTCACTGGCTGAGTGGATATCGCGATGGCGTTTGAAGCGAAGGGTACTGGGTTCGAGTACCAGAGTAAACATCAACTGTAGGACGCAGGTACACCCAGCGGACGAGTCCCAAATAGGACGAAACACGCATCAAACTGGATTCTACTTCTAGCCACTATTCATGTTTGCTTATATACGACTTTGTTGTAGAATCATTGGAAAAAAATCAGATTTATTTCAGTACGTTCCATAGAATAACACTGAAATTGTACAAATTTCTGTACTGTTTAATTATTTAGGGATGGGGTAGGAAAAGAATGAATCAATGAAAAATACCTTTTGAAAAATAAAGACAAGTGACTGATTCAACAGTCTCAATCTGTGTTATACAATATTCAAGTTCACATAATTTGTGGAAACGTATCACAGAATTTCATTGCAAAAATTCTATTCATTTATGATTTTATGACTTCATCGATAGTAAAACTAATGGTAAAAAAAGAAAATTGTTCACCAAATCACTTTCTCTCATCTTATACCACATGGATTAGAATGATTCTAAAACACAGATTGAATTTTTATGATAAAAATATTAATAATACATACGATTGAATGTATAACGTCAGTTTATTTGGTATTCAGTAAAATGTATTGTATAAAATTTCAGGGTTATTATTCAAAACCGGGAATCACATGTGATATAATATATTTTTAATTTTATATAGTTGAAACCATTAGTCATTTGAAGCTAAACCACGATGGAAAACTTGGTTTCATCCTATTGTGGGACTCGTCAACAGTGATCATCCACGATCTCGCCTCGCGAGATTTGAACCTAAGATCTAGCAGTCTCACACGCGAGCACTTAACCACTAGATCACTGAGCTGGCTGACAATGGTTGCTCAATTTCGTGAATTGGTTGAAGCTAGAAATTAACACCATTGGATGCGGGCTCAGTGATCTATCAGTTAAGTGGTCTATCGCGAGACTGGTAGATCCTGGGTTTGAATCTCGCTCGCGAGGCGGGATCGTGGATGTGCACTGCTAAGGAGTCCCACAATTAGACGAATCAGCCATACAGTGCTTCTTGGTATTCCATAGTGGTCTAGCTTCAATTGATTCATGATCTCAACGATCAAAATTATCAAATTGATTAAAACATGCTTTATTTTGTTCTTTGTAAAATATCACCATAATTACTGACTTAGAATTGTAGAGATTAATCATGAATTTATTATTATGAACAATTATTCGCTCAGATATTCTTTGTATTCAAATATTTCCTAGGGATTTCTAAACTAATCTTAATTTCTCTAATACTGATATTTATGAATATAAGTTATAATAATAAATAAGAAGTCATAAAACGTTTATAATTCGGCTATATTTTACTAATTATGGGAACTACTAATTTTTTTCTTATATTAGATTTCATTTTCAGCATTGCATTATTAATGATTAGAGTATTATCTTTCTACAGCACTACAAGTATTATTTTTATTATAATGCATAAGTTACACAACATTTCCTATCACTAAATAAGATTAGCTAATCACTAAATGCTTTCTCAGTCATGAAAATGGTGGCGTAATATCGTGGACTGGTTAAAGTTAAACATTCACACCGTTGGATTGCTGCTCAGTTTTTTATAAGTCAGGCGTTTGTGAGCAAGACTGAAGGTCTTTGATTAGACTCCTGTATGAAAGGTTGTGAACGGGCACTGTTGAGGAGTCATTTACTAGGATAAAATGGTTATTCTGTGTTTCCAAGTTTTCAATAACGGTCTAACATTGATCGATTCATGATTTCAGCGTGTAGTTATTATTTTGTTCATGATTGTAATAATAGATTTTTTAAGGGGTTGTTTAAGTTTCTTTACAAGAATATGTATTTACTACTTGATTCATTTATTCTATTTCATATACTTGTTTATTGTTGTCTTCACCTTTAACATCATTCACTCATTTTCCTTACTACGTTACACATAGAATTATAAATTAACAATGATGACATCCTATTACTAGGTAGATATATATATATTTTAATAAACAATCCCATATAGAATGTGATTGATTGATCAAAACTTATATGACATAAGTTTCTGTCAGTTATCATTTTGTTTTGTTTGATTTATTCACAATTCAAACAAGGCACAATAGGAGGTAAACAACATTAATAAAACAAAAGAGAGAAAGAATCATGTTATATTATTAATAAATAATTAACTACATATATATTCATCGTTTATCTATTATCGATTGTTGTTTTTTATTATTATTGTTGTTGTTGATGACACTGCTGCTGCTGCTGATGATGATGATGATGGATCAGTTTGAAGAAACAACTAAGCAACTTTCCAATAAGGTTTCAGTGACTGATCTAGATTAAAGACTTTAGATATATATTATTTTGAAGTTATTGTTTTGTACTGTATTGTCATAACTAATCTACACTATTTTTTATAAAAATTATGGGTGATGAAAGAGTACAGTTCTTATTCTTCCCTCCGATGTTTTAGTTTTATGATAAATCCAGTTCAATATGTTTTACTAATTTTTATTCAAGTGATATATTATACAAACTTAATCCGTGTAACAATTAAGAAAAGATAGCAACAACATAATGGTAATCAGGAATTAGTTGTATTCAGTAAACGCTTTTGTGTTTCTAGTTATCATTACCAAGTTTTTATTTGATAATTTTGAATAAATTGAGCATTGGGTAGATTGTTATAAATAAATTAATATATTTGTAATATCCCAATGAATAAAAAAATTAGATTTTCTGACGTTTCGTGAGTCAGTGTAACCAAATTTGGTTATTTATTCTCTGAAGAAGTGGCTTACACTGACTCACGAAACGTCAGAAAATCTAATTTTGCTATTGTGTTTTTTTTCTATGATAATTTGTGTTTATCTATATCAATATAAAATATAATTTAAGCCAAATCTAATAAAACTGTTTTGACTTAACAATTTAATGTGTATTTATTGACAATTTATGTGTTGAAAGGCACTAAATGATGTATTTTCATAATTGAAATCATAAGTCAATTGAAGCTAGACTACCAAGGAAGCTTCAATTGACTCATGATTTCAACTGTGAAAATACTGAAATCACCACAAAACCCTTTCTGAATAAATTATGTATTATATGAATGAATTTGTCAATACTTACGTATGTAAACTTATGTGTAAATCACTTTTGATAGATTGTGTTTTTAAAATGAATTTCAAGAGGATGATGCTGTTTGTTCTATATGAAGATTAGTTAATGAAATAGTGAGAATCATGGAAAGATGGTCTGGTAGTTTATAGTTGAGTTTGAAACTTTTCAGTAATTTACTCGTACAAATAGTTTCATGGAATGCCTATTTAACGCCTCATTGGTAATCAGTCTTAAAAGTAAATGAATTTTTAAATGAACTTTTTATTCAGGAAAACTATAGCTAGTTAATGATTCTTAATTAATGTTTTGTAATGAACTTTTCGAGGTTCTTATGAAGGTCTTTGGCTTAAATAGTCAAGCTAAAGCAGAAAGAAATGAAGTCTTACACTCATACGGTGCAGAATATGATAAAGTGGTTAATTGGTTTTTCAACTTACACAAACTGAGAACATTTTGCTTTTGTTTCAAACTTAAATGACTTTATGAAATCATTTCAATAAAATGCAATTGAATTGGCTCTCAAACCTCGGTTTGTGATGATAGAATTTCTCCATAGTAAACAAGTTTCCATAAATATATTTATTATTAAAATTTGGTGTTATTCCAGTGATTTTACGACTAAGAATAATGAAAATAACGGTGCATTTCAAAGACATTTACACTTATTATGTGCTAAGCATTAGTTCAAACACTTATTAATAATAATATTACCATCATGTTCGTTGAACAGATTAGTGGTTATCTGGAATTAGTAGCTCAGTGGATTTGAAAGGTATCTGGTTCTGGTTCGGGAGTGAATATCAACAGTGGAATGTAAGGACATCAATCTGACGATTACTATATTGAACAGAGTGAGTGTTCTGGATTTCATTGTAACCAAAACCTACCCGTTCCACAAAATACTTAACCATTACGTACAGAGACAGTTCTTAGCATGTAATGAATTTACCTTGTTAGCTGTTGAAAGCTAGACAGTACAGTGAAGTAGTATCCACTCATAACACCTTAAGAGGACAAACCAAAAACCTTTAGGTAGCATCTTTAACTCATTACATCGATGCTCTGGAATCCAGAAGTTTAAATTTTTGATTTTAGATAACTCAACAATCAAATATTAATTATTTGACAATAGTTTACCTTTTACCGTTTTGGAACCATAAAATAATATGTATTCACTATCATTCTAGAATTTTAGTTAATCGCATACTTCTTTGCATTTTGATTTTGCATTCTCACTTTTGATTTTGTTTTTAGGAAACTGCAAACTGAACTAAAACGTACTGAACAAGTTGTTAAACGTCGTGTTTCATTATCAAATCAAGATGTTACACAGCAAGTTTATTGTTGTTTACTCTGCGAACAAACTCCATTACCAGAAGGTCAATATTCTGAACAAAATTGGAAAGTATGTCATGATTGTCATAATACTCTGTGTCCAAACTGTGTAGTACAGATTGGTAAAAATGTTGATTCTGTAAGTCTAACACCTTTTTCAGTAAATACATTTTCTTATAATGATTGGTTGTTATTATTATAGATTGTTATTAATATAGTGAACAATACCCTCGATAGGCACAGTCAGTAGATTGCAAAACAGCTTTTGAGGCTGGACGAACACCTCATCCTAGTATTGGACTCCTCATCAGTGCACATCCACAACCTCACATGCGGAACTCGAGCACAAAACATGCAATCTCGCTCACATACGCTTAACTTGTAGACCACTGAGTCGACCGGTATTCAACGGTGTTGATGTCTTACTTCAACCAATCCACAATATTATGCACCTATTCACCGTTGTCTTTAGTAAGTAACTGCCCCATACACGACACGGTTGAACTCCATTTATCATGGTTTCTCACTAGAACTGTAAGAAATCCATCTTGAAGCCAGTGTTTTTTATCAATTCATATGATGTTTATATTAATAAGAGGAGAATCTCACCAAAAATGATTTTATTCCCTGAATATCTATGACTAGTAACTAATGAATTTATGCAACGATAAATATTCCCAGATTAACAAACTTTTTCTTTCATCAAACGAAATTCTTTTGCAGGTAACACTGTGCACTAGGCTTAAAGGTAGCTCGGTTTATGATACATATTTTACATGCAATTTTATTTAGAAAAGTTTACATGCATGTGAATCTTTTATGGTTGTAACTCAATATTAATAAGTTAATTTCACAAGTAAATAGTTAATACAGGAAGATAGATATTTTAAGCTTTTTGTTTATAATCATACTATTTTTATGTTGGTTTGTTCTCTGAGCTGGATGGTTTGTTGAAATTCAAACACTTCACTTCTACCCGAAGTTTGTGCTGATGATGTCGTTCAGAAGGACGATGAAAGCTCCACGACCAAACCATCCAGCTCAGAGAACAAACCAACATAAAAATCACCCACCTGAGCTACAAATCTTCTCCACCATCTCATAATCATACTATTTTAACGCCATACAATGGAGTTTAATTACATGCTATAAGGTATACGTTTCTTAAAATTGATACCTAGATGTTCTTTTTACATTATATTTTGTTTAATCCATTTAAGAACTATGAAACTTTGTGTAAATACTTGTTTAACATATTCAGTCCAAAGAATTTGTTATTCATATTAATTTCATTGTAAATAAAAAGAAAATCGGTGTAAACAAACAATTACGATCTTTTCTAAAATTGTTACTATACAAGTTTAATCAAAATGTGAATAATATTAAATCCAAAACTATATTTTGTTACTATCTCTTTATCTCCATACAAGGGACTATGTTTAGTTATTTTTAATGATTAACATAATTTTTTAATTTAAACAAATTGATTATTTATAATTGGTTATTTGTTTGGAATACAAATGATATTAAAAATTAAAGTTAAAATATAGTTTCTAGAAAGATTTGGCGTTATGGTAACGAAATATTTAAGACTAGACTTATAGAAGTTAGGCTTTTACACCAATGAATCCCAGTTTATTGATCTAGAGGTAAAACGATAGATTCACTTTTGTTGGTTCATGAATGCACACTGCTGAGAAGTCCGATACTAGGAAAAAATAGCTGTCCAGTGCTTTCAGGCTTCCAATGACTGACTAAACTTGATTATATATAGTTAAGATCATGAGTCAGTTGAAGCTAGACTACCATCGAAAACCTGGAAGCACTGGACGGCCGTTTCGTCCTATTATGGGAATCCTCAGCAGTGCGTATCCACGATCCCGCTCTCTTGAGATTGGTAGGTCCTGGGTTCGAATCTCGCGAGAGCGGGATCGTGGATGCGCACTGCTGAGGATTCCCATAATAAGACGAAACGGCCGTCCAGATCTTCCAGGTTTTTGATGGTAGTCTAGCTTCAACTGACTCATGATCTTAACTATATAAAATTACTAAAATCTACACAAACCCCCCTGTGATAAACTTGATTAGTTCGAGATTTCAATGAAATTTAGGTTAGTTTTTATTACATGTTATGACAAAATTCAGGAGGTTAGGAAAAGTTATATATAGTTTGAATTCATCAGATTGTACTAATCATTAACTGGACGGTGAAGGGATGAGAATAAATGTTTAACTGTCTTTTTTGCCAAGACAGATGAAGGTTAACCATATACTGGTCTTAAATAAAACGGTCAAGTGTAAGACTTAGAATTTCTATCGCTTCTTTGAATTTTATTAAGGTTTTAGCTAGATTGTTTATTGATTATTTGAATACGCTTGTTCCACTAAGTTGGCGTGAAGTTGAACTTCGCAAATCATTTTTCATTGGATAACTAGGTTCTTGTGAATGTAGATAACTGTATTTATGTTCTTTTTATCAACATGCTATTGGATGTACACGTAGATTAATATATGAAGTTGGTGATTTGTGACGGGTATTGAGCTTGTGGAAACAATTTTGCTCTTGAGAATGTACTTTTTATAACTGTCTTTTGTTTCTGGATGATTTTATCAATGAATTGGCCACCCTTGAACACCGATCGGATGAAAACCACTTTCATTTAAAGTCTGGAGACATCTTATCATAGTTTTCAGTACGATGCTTTATTTACAAATGCCTGAAGAAAATCATTTTCTGGAAGATAAATATCTATAATTACATATACCTCTCCCAGCTTTCCTAGCGAACATCACTTTCTCGTCATAGCTTATAGAGCATAAGGTATTGTCAGTCAATCACAACGTAGAAATTCGTACGTACGTACATCAATTTGAGTTACCATGACACATCAGCACAGAGATGCAGTTGTCCATTCAAATCCCATAGTGGTAGAAGTAGTAAGAGTATAAGTATTATGTGAAAGATTAGGGTTTGAAGATGTTATTGAAGGTGTATATTCCAGTGAAATAAATTTGGAAAGAGGAAATAGAAAGGGTCATGGAGAATTCAAATTAGAATTTGGGAGAACACAGAGAGTGGATGCACCTTGTAAACGATTTTGAGCCATGTCATTCAAGCTCTCTAACCATCGATTGCTATCATCTCGCACATCCCAACCAGGTAGTCTAAACCTACTAGAATGGCTCAGTCCACTTGTCAGTGACTTTATGGATTTGTGCCACGTTTTGGTCTGGCCGCCCCTAGCTTTCTTCCAACCTACTCCTACACCATGAAACATTGTACGTCGGGGCAGTCGGTGGTTGGGCATACGTAACACGTGTCCCAGCCATCTCAACTGATGACGTTTCACTACTTCATCAATCGATTTGTCATCCTTACCTAATACCTGTTTCCTAACAACTGCATTAATTACCCGGTGGTCCCAGGATATATGAGCAATGCTTCGAAGACACCTTTGATCGAATACTAGTAGCCTACAAATATCCTCTACTCTTATTGGCCATGTCTCACTGCCGTAAAGTGGGTTGGAACGAACTGCTGCACAGTAAACCTGTCCTTTGGTTGCTAGACGGATATCTCGTCTACGCCATAAGATATTGTAGTGTCAGTTACTATGTTAAACCCGCATAACTTATTCTAACTTCCGAACAGACCGATTTATTCATTCTTCTTTATTCGCATTCTAACTTTGTGAATTATTCGCTTACCAACTTTGTTTTCAGATGAGTGTATGTATATGCGCTCATCACAAGTCTGTAGCTTATTTCTATCTGACTATAAATATTGATTAACGCTTGACTAGATCGAGTCAGCTCACACACATTCTCCACTGCGAGTCATTTCGCTTCGCTCCCTTCTTTTCACTTCTTTCGCTTCGTTTCTCTGATTATCTATCCAAATCAATGAGTGTACGAAATATACGTATTCAAAATTCCATTCTCATATTTGAATTATCATAATTCCGTTATTCACTTACGCGAGTTAAGTCGATGACTATATATGAGGATCAGCGACATGTATATTTCAATAACAATCATTCATACGATTTACCCGGAGTCAGATATAGGGGCTACTAAACTATGAAAGTTTAAATATTGACCACTTCATATTTCCTTTCAATATGTTTATCTTTGATAGGTTTTATCATTTCTTCAAAAGTTATTGAGATCTAAAAAACGGAATACATTATTTCCTTCTTACTTCTTCATTGAATTAACATTAAAACAGAATTTATTCAAAGATTCATGGTGAATAATTAAATAATTAATAATTAATTTCATTTATATTCCTAAACAAATTACTGTTTATAGATTATTCATTTGTTCAAGTTGAATGTTATATTAATATAATTGAAAATATCAAAATATATTATATAGTGGTCTAGCTTCAATTGACTCATGATTTCAACTATGTAAAATTACTAAGATCTTCACAGAAAACCCTTCTGATAATAATCATATGCTCACTAGTGACTAGCTATAAGTGGTCATGGATGCAAACTTCTGAGGAGTCTCACAATAGAACGAAACGCACGTCCTGGATTCCACTGCCAGCTGATATTCATCTTTCATTAGGTAACATGGCTTAAAATTGGTTGAAATAAGGCAGATATATTTCCTCTTTGTTTTAACTAAGATCCCAAGTTTATCATTATTTTACTGGAATTATTGTGATAGTTCTTTTTTCCTCCTATCATCATATCGCAACCCATCAACATTTATGGGGAGTTATGGAGGTTGTAGTATTTTCAATAGTCGAATTCATGAGTTGATCTAAGTCAGACCATCATGGAAAACCTATAAACACTGGACAACCATTTCGTCCTAGTCTAGGACTCCTCAGCAGTGAGCATCAACGATCCTTCACGCGTGGGTCGTGCCAAACAACTTCGGTCTCTAACGGGAAAGCTTAACTTCTAGACCACTGAGCCGGAATTCAAAAGTGTTAATATCTAACTTCAATTTGTTAATGAATGACTGAAAAACCATTCATCCATTGTCTGGGGTAGATACCTGTCTCTGCCCAACATGAATTAGATTCCACTAGTCACGGCTTCTCAATAGAACTTCAGAAAATCCATGTTAAAGCTAGTCACTAATGAACATATGATAACTGTTATCATAATGGGGGTTTGTGGAAGCCATCCAGTTCTTCCAGGTCTTTAATGGTGGTCTAGCGTAGATTGACTCAAACACTTAACTATTAAAATTCATTATAATTAATAATAGCTTTATTCAACATTATATTTTTTGGCACAATATATAATTCTCAGCACAAGGTATTTAAACAAGTTTCTTTCACAAAGAAAGGAAAAAAGGTGAACGAAACTGATAGCTGCATACAGACATATATACATACATAGATTAATTAGATATACCACTTGGAATCGAATGAAATTTTTTTTTAAAACGATTATAATCTGCACAACTATTTTAGTTAGAAACATGACTAAGAATACTAGTTATTAACTAGGTCAGCTCTCGAAGGTTACTCATAATTTATTCACCACTAAGATTCAAAAGTATATAGTTAGTATCTGATAAGATAACACCTGCCAGGAGTTTGCAAGACATTAGATATCTATTCACAACCATATTAATGATGGTATTCAATGATTCATGAAGTAAACTATAAAAATATAAAAATCTCCACATAACTCTTACACTAATATTCAACTCTTTTTTTCAACAAGTCAAATAAAAATCTATAACCGTTAGATGTTATTTCCATTCTATATTATTACTGTGTAACAATATCAGGGAATAGATAACAATATATCAGGGAAATAATATCTTCATACATATACTGTCTTTTTATTTGTTGAAATAAATTCTCATAGAATTTAATGGTTGAATTCATGAATCGATTTAAGTTAGACCACCATGGAAAACCTAGAAACACTGGAAGGCCATTTCGTTCTAGTATGGGACTTTCCATAAGTGCTCACCCACGATCCCACGTGTGGGACTCGAACCCAGGACCATCGGTTTCGCATGCGAACGCTTAACTTCTAAACCACTGAGCTGGCTGGCATCCAACGGTGTTAATATCTAACCTCAACCAATCCACAATATTATACGACTATTCACCATTGTCTTTAGAGAGTCACTGCCCCACAACAGACTTGGTAAAATGCCGTGGTGCATTAGATAATCAAGAGGTAATTTCTTCCATGTGTTTATGTTATTGACCTCTTTTTTGTTTTAAATTATCAACAAAAATAACACCATATCTCTTTGTGACAATTAAATTTCTAACCATGTTTTACAGCATTTACCATTGAAAGTTTTTATAATCATGAGTGAGCAACATTCTCACCCCAGAACAAGTTAGAATCATAAGAAATTATATGATCAAATTTAAATAAGTAAAAGATATTTCAGGGTAAAATAGAATTAGTCATAAATAAATAACATAGTTGGAGACGACTAACATGAAGAACTCATGTATTAGTAAAGTATACTTACTATTATGAAAGAATCAATGTTCATCTATTGGCTGAAATTTGTATTTAATATCGAACAAGGCGTTTCATGATACTGATTTACTAACCTTAGTAATCCGATAAAGAATTTGATATGCATAATTTTATTAGCAGGAAATGCTAAAGATCCTATTATAACTGGCTTTTACTAAGTGATCTATGGGTATTACAGTATATTGTCTTACACTATACACTCCATTTAAACCACGATTTTTGTAAAATCTTGTGAATGATACCCATTAATATAGTTAGGATCATGGGCCCATTAAAGCTAGACCAACCTGGTAAACCTGGAAGCACTGGACGGCCGTTCTGTTCTATTGTGGGTCTCCTCAGCAGTGCGCATCCACGATGCTACCTCGCGAGATTCGAACCCAGGACCTGCCCATTTAATCAGAATGAGTTTACAGATTTTATAAATATTGTTAAATCTAATGACTCTTTTCCTACAATTATCTGACGGTAATTTTTAAAGATAATTTTAACAAAATTAGAGAGTTGGGATAACAGTCTCATTGTAATTTTCTTACTAATGCTCTATTTTATTCTTAAACTAGACTCATCTTTTTCAGAGACACAGAGAGAGAGAGAAAAAAGATCGTTTTATTCTAAAGAATTTCATAGAACTTATTTAGCAGTTAACTCGCCAACAAACCATTCATATCAGCATTCTCAATAAAAATAAAAGATAAGTTGTAGATTATTTAATAGTTGAATTCATGAGTCGATTGAAGCTAGACAACCATGTAAATTCTTGAAGCACTGGATGGCTGTTTCGTTCTTTTATGGAAATCCTAAGCATTGCTCACCAACAATCCCGCTCTCAGGACAGTGACGCGATTTTTTGGATTGGCCGAAGTTAGAGATTAACGCCGCTGGATGTCAGTCGATTCAGTTATTCATAGTTAAAGCGTTCTCGCGTGAGGCCAAAGGTCCTGGGTTCGAATCTTACATGTGTGATCGTGGTTGCTCACTGCTGGGGAGTCCCATACTAGGACGAAATGGACGTCCAGTATTTGCAGATGTCCCATGGCGGCCTAGCTACAATCTACTCATGAAGTCAATTGTTAAATTACTACAATCTCCACAAAACCCCCTTTCTGATTGTAGATTATTATTTAACAGATTAAATGTTTAAAATAATCAGTTAGAATGATTCATCACTATAGTAATCATTCATTTATTTTCTTTTATAATTCCCTCTTTTGTTCATTTCATCCAGGAAATATTTTGGTTGTGTAAATTATGTCAAAAGAAACGTCAATTGACTGTCAGTTCTGGTAGTTGGTTACAAGGTCTTCCTAAAAATAATAATAATAAACAAACGAAAGAGTTACAAAAACTAATACAAGTAAGCTATCATGTCAATTTTCATTAAATTATTTAAACTTTTTTTTGAAGTATCGTTTGCCGAAGAACTCGAACCTTAGGTTTTAAAAAACTGTTGAAAATCAAGAAGCAGTGGATAGCTATTTCGTTCTAGTATGGGGCTCTTCAATATAGCGTATCGATTACATATTCATGAGTCTTATGATAATCTGTAACAACTTTCTATTGCATTATGGTTTTATATGTTCGTTTAACTTGTATCTGTCCATGATTTCAATAATGTTCAACAATCTTTATCAATGCACATATTGAGAATTCCAAACTAATTTTCGATTAACGATGAATAATCATAGAAATCGGAAAAATCCCTATTGATTTATCAAGCACTAAAGACACTACTACGTTTATGATTACAGTAATAGATACCAAATGTATTGAATAATTAAAGATTTTGAACTGTTATTTTATTTTAGTTTACAATTATTGAGCAGTGTGTACTAAAGAAACTCTAAATCATGGGTTCTAAGTTACTTTAGTCTCAACGTATGATGCATTTAAATAACGGATTTTAAATACTGTTTGTTCTTAAATAAACATAGAAAATATTAAAAAGCGTTTTGGAAAATTCCCAGTAACAGTAATGTATGATATGCTTTTTTCGTAACTGAATTCATTTTGAGTAAAATTTCTAGAAAATTGTTTAACATTTATTATGGTGATTTGATTGAACAAATCTAAACTGTTTCGATTGATATCATGAATGGATCAATGTTAAGCCACCATTGAAAACCTGAAATCATTGAACGACTACCTCGTCCTAGTATGGGACTCCTCACCAGTGCACATTCACGATTCCGTATGTGAGACTCGAACACAGAACCTTCAGTCTCGCTCATGAACGCTTAACCTGTAGACCATTGAGTCGACTAACATCCAGCTATGGTAATGTCTTACTTCAACCGATTCACAATATTACGCGACCATCTGCCACTGTCTTCAATGAGTAACTACCTCGTAGGTAACACGGTTGAACTCCATTGATCACGGCTTCTCACTAGAACTGCAGGAAATCCATCTTGAGGCTAATCACTAGTGAAGACATGAAAATTGTCAGTGTAGGATTGTGTAGATTTTTGAGTTTGGATTGAATAAGGTTAAGAGTTCGCGCTTAAAACCGAAGTTCTTAAGTTCCAGTCTTTCTTGTGGAATCATAGATGTTTACGTCTGAGGAGTCCTATACTAGATGAATACAATTATCTTATCTAGCTTAGTGATGTCTACTCAAAAGACTGTATAATTGACTTATGCCCCTAAGCGATTAGAAATCAAAGGCGAAACTAAAAACCATATTAATTAATATTTTTCATCTAATATTTTTCATCAATAACACACATATACAAACTATAAACACAAAATAAATATGGTCAAATCTCTTATATGATTGGAGAAAATTAGCTTGTAGGTAACGTATTCTCCAATCAATTAAGATCTGGTTGTTAGTGCTAATCCTTGGGCATTTTATCATTATTTCATTGGTTCAATGCTTTTCATCAACTTCAAACACTTCAAATTTATAAACAATGATGTGAATAGGATCAAAGCTTTGAAATACTTTAGTTAATGGGATTCAGACGGGAAAGATGATAATCATAAGTAGATGAAGAAATAACAACATAATATTAAACCTTGTAACTAACTAGTGATAATTCAAAGTGTTCACAATTACTGATTTGTTTATATTGAACTCATTTTCTCCATATTTTTTTAAAGAAAACTCATGCAATTACACGAACAGCATCTTATTCTCAATATGAAGATCTAATTGATCAAGTTAGTTTAGATGAATCTACAGTGAATAGTGGTGATCAAGATGAACATGAACGTGAAGAAGAAAAAGAAGAAGAAGAAGATTGGAAACAGTTAACACAGAAGGACAATACACAACTTATAAAATCTCATCAATATTCTATATTGAAAAATATTCATCAAAGAAGAGCTTCAGAACAAAGTAGTATTAAAAATATGGTTAAATCAACACACCGACCATATCATTCTATTAAAGATGATCAATCTGTAAATAGCGAAGCTAGAAAAGTATCAATGCGACAGAAATTTTTACACGGTAATGATGCTGTTATTCATGATGACGATGATGACGTTGATAGGGATAATTATAAAAATCTAACTTATCAAAATCGTATGCATTTATATTTTACAAAACAGATTACTGAACAATTCAGTGTAGATAATGATGTTGATGATAATGGGTATGAGAAAGATCAGAAATTTGATGAGGAAAGTAATGAATTTAACGAAAATGATCATTTTAAAGAAATAAATTTACATAGCAACAAGTTATCAACTATAGTTCAACGATCACATCATGAAGAATGTTATGAAGGAACAAACATGATTGATGAAATACAAAAAATTACATCAACTGTTATTATTGATGAAAAAGCATCTGAAACAAAAAACTTTGTTCAGTCTACTTATACAAATGTTCCTTATGATGACAATGATCAAACAGTAGTTTCATTGTGTACAGGTAAAAAATTTAACTAATTCATTCATAAGTGATTGATGATACTATTCAATACAATGTATCACACATATTAGACAGTACTCAAATATAAAGAGATATCAATTTTTTCTGCTATTGAAGAGATTTTAAGATTTCAGAAATGATTTATGAACTAAATTATCAGAGATAGGTTGTCATAAATATTCTGTCCAGTTAACTGATATCTGATGAAATCTCTTCACGAATTCAGAAATCTTGTTTGGTTTTTGCTAACTTACGTCACCTATGGCGAAGGCGAGATATCCGTCTGTCAACTAACGAACTGATATACTGCGCAACAATTCGTTCTATTTTAATTTAGGGCTACGAAACATGGGCATTAAGGGTAGAACATATTCGTAAGTTACTAGTGTTTAGTCGTAAATGTCTTAGAAATACTGCTCGCATCTGCTGAGATCACCAGGTAAGTAATAGTGAGCTTAGATGCAGGGTATTAAAGAATGATGGTAAATCAGTTCATCAGGCTGTGAACCTACATGTACTCGAATGTTTGAGCAACGTATTACGCATGCTCGACCATCGATTACCTCGACGCTCAATGCTAACTAGTGTTAGTGATGGTTGGAAGTTAGGGGAAGCCAAATAAAAACGTGATATCTGTCCTTGAGATCCCTAACTTCTGGTCTGAGCCATGTTGTTATATGCAGACTACTTGTTGGGGTCCGAGTGAATATCGTAACCATTGGTTGGAGACTATGGGTGACATGGCACAGAATCAATTGCAATAGCTTAGGTGTATGCACTCATTGTCTTCCCTTAAACTGTGAGATTAAAATAAATTTATACCTTTCTTTCCGCGAACTAGTTCTTTCTTTCTGTACTATATGCTCATACACAATCTTTCTTTTATATATTACTACCATTGAAGTAACTACTTCCATGAATTCGGTGTTCATCTTGTTGTGCTAATGAGATGTGGCAACACGGACTGATGTACATATGTGCCTGGTCCTACGTTTTAGCTGACTAACTGAAGTGAGGCCCATATGTTTATCGAATAATTCACTTTTAATAAACAAAATATTTATTAAGATTGATAAATGTTTACCTACTATAAACGTAGTGAAACATTTCTGACTTCTTTTGTAAATCATGTAATTCAAATGAAGTTTGAATAGTACGTTTTTGTATTTAATTATTCAATCATTCGATTTGAAGGAACGATAAAGACATGCATAACATTGGAGTACATGAGTTCACAAGTGATATATGATTTATATTAATACTAATTCGCATTGATCTATCATTAAATAATAATCAATATCATATGTTTCTGATTCCTAATACTAACTGATTTTCATCGATCACGTTTCTTTGTAATCAGGAGTTAAACTGACGCGACATCATAATACACTTTGTTTTCAATCTTTGGATATGATGCTTGAGTAATTTATGAATAGTAAATTAATTGATAAAGACGTGATTTCTTTTGTCCGATGAGATGTTTTGTACATCTCGAGACATAACGTACTATAACATGCGATAGTGGCTAACATAAAAGAATCTTATAAGATTACTAAACACTGAGGGATCGATTATTTCTATTAGTCCATAAAGTTGGTGTCATTCAAAGTCTTTTGATTTTTGATTTGTTAACTTCCTATTTTAGTGTATTGATATGAAGTATTTTAGGTCGGACAATCTTTATTATTGGTTGACTGAGTGACTGTACTCAAAATTAAATGTTTAACTACCAGTCTAATGTATTTCAAATTTATGAGATTCATTTGTAATAAGAAAATTTCGTTGCTTCTGGTGAATTCCTTTAAAAATTTATTTTTCCATACTATCGAATTGTGACAATACTATAGATATAGGATCAATCAGTTATTTAACAACCAAACATCCAACTATCAGTGAACCAGTATTTACTACTTTAAAGAAGATCGAAAATTCATCTTCATTCTAATTATTAGGGTCATTGAGTTGTAAGGCTTTATCCTTTAGCTTAATCAACAAAATTCCAATAATGTTTAAATCCGGAAATTGTCAGTTCAAATCTAAATGTCATCCAGTTTACTCTTCTTATCTAGTTTAGTCCATATTCATAGATACATAAAAATAAAAGATTTCAATCATGATTGATTTAAATAACCTCAATTAATTCCATTAAATCATTAACTTGATCAGATATATCTAAGTTATCATAATGCGGAAAATTATATTTCAGATCAGAACAAATGTGATCTATATTATACAATTTCATATAGTAGATTATTCCTTGTTATACAATGATCACTTTTCTAGTTAACTAACAATTCAGTCAAACAATGATTTAAATGAATGGATAATGAAGTAAAACGTTTTCAGATTTTTCAATGGGTATAATATACTCAAACTACTAATACAAAATTCAGTAGTTTATGCTTCCAACCTCATTTAAATCTCCGTTTAACTCAATTATAACTCCATATATCATTGAGAAACTAATGATTTATTAAATATATTGTCTGTTTTACATTGAAAGTATCAGTACCATGAAGATTATAGGTTAACCATGTTAATAAATTTCAACGAACTCAAACCTAGGTTGAGCAGACATTCTTGTCAACCGTTACCAACTACCTAACACGTATTAAAATTTTATTTTGTGTATTATTTTTTAAATTAAATTAACGTTATATATATATATATATAAATGTTATGGAAACAATTTAAACAAATAATTAATTTTATATGGTTGAGATCATGAGTCAATTGAAGCTAGACCACCATGGGAAACCTGGAAGCACTGGACGGCCGTTTCGTCCTATTGTCTGACAACTCAGCAGTGCACATCCACACCCCCGTCTTGCGAGATTCGAGCCTGGGACCTAGTAGTCTCGTGCCAGAGCACTTAACGGATAGACCAGGTGTGTTGGGAGATATCAATTCACTGATGACATTGTGAATGGTTGCTCAATTTCGTCGATTGGTTGAAGTTAGACCGTTGGATGCTGGCTCAGTGGTCTAGAGGTTAAGTTCTCGCGCGCGAGACTGATAGGTCCTAGGTTCAAACTCGGCGGGGCAAGATCGCGGATGCGCACTGCTGAGGAGTCCCACAATAGGAAGAAACGTACGTCCAGTGCTTACAGGTTTTCCATGGTGGTCTAGCTTCAATTGACTCATGATCTCAACTATTTAAAATTAAGAAAATCTCCACAAAACCACCTTCTGAAAATAATTAATTCTATACGCTTATTTCAAAAATATTACAGCCTCACCAACCAACATATTATCTCATCATCATACAGATAGACAACAGTTTCTACCTGAAGATTATGTCATCTCTTCGACAGATTATCTGAGTACTACTTATAATAACAATATTAATAGTAGTCAAGGGCATTCAATTGAATCTAATCATGATATCATTACATCAAACTATAATGAAAATATGATAGAATCATTTAATTTTTATCCAATCAATCATAAAGATTATCAATTCGATGAAGATTTATTCAAAATTTATCAAAATATACAACAACCTTCATTAAAACAAACTTCTAATCAATTATCAATGGATCAAGTCGGTTTAATTATACCTCAACATAACAGTTCTAATGAATATAATGAAGATATTGATCATCAAAATTTATTGTTGCCAATAAATTGGGAAAATAATTCTTATCATTTACAAATGAATAATCAAATACGTAGACAATCATGTCCAATAATTACTGACAGTGTATCATCACCACAATCATCCTCATCATCATCACTATCACCATCATCGAATCAAGTTATAAGACAACAGCCAAATTTCACAACACCATCTAGTTATTTTGAAGATATTCATAGTGGTGAGGATGATGATGATGAAGAGAAATTAATTCATCTATATGATGATCAACATGATTCATATCATCCAAATCATGAAATTCATTCAAATCATTTAAATTTATTTTTTCCATATAATTTAAATGAATCATGGGATTATACTGAAGATTTACGTAAGATAGATGAAAATATATATCAACGTACAACTATTCCATGTAAAACAACAGATCTTAATACTACTACTTATGATACAGTAACTAGTAGTATATTTAATGAAAATGAAAATAACATTCCCTATACTGCTATATCAACTGGAACTACTAATGTATCTTCAATTGAAAATTATTATATAGATAAAACTATACAACCATTATATAAAGATCAAGATATTAATTTTAACCCTTCAATGAATGATCTTTATTTAAATTGGTTAAATGAATTAAATTCAAGTTATAATTCTATGAATCAACAAGATACCAATTCTAATGTAAATAAACATGAAGATTATGTATCAGAGTGTTCATTAATGAGTACTAATAGTTTACAAGGTACATTAGTTTCAAACTTAACAACAACAACAACAACAACCAATTCTGGTAACAATAATGTTGAATCAATTGAACAAAATCACCTTCTATTAAAACGTTGTCCTAATTTTGAAAATATTAGTCGTTTATCTAATAATAATAATAATAATAATATTCAATTAACAGAAAAAAGTGAAAGCTTCTATGAAGGATTAATGCAATTATCTGAAATTGCTAATGATGAAAAAGAAGATTTTGAAATGAATAATGATACACCGACAAAAGTATGGGGTCGAGAATTTCGTGATAGACTACAAGTAAATATTCAATTGTTGTTTGTTTTTTTTAATTGTTGTATATATGTATGGATGTGTTGTAAGTAGGTTGATACATGGAATATGCTTCTATTGTGAAATAAATTTAAGTTTGTCACTTTTTTTGTGTTCTTTTAAGATGGTTCAACTGAACATTAAACTGGAAAGGTAATGACAGAGTAGTCAATAAATAGTTGAAGATTTTCATCCTATATGATATTATTATTTATTAGTTTAACGCGTGAACATTGGTACAACGAAGCATCAACTAGATATGCACCACATAAATCTTTCGATTCGTGTGAGGTCTGAGATACTCTCCAGATGCTTAAACTGAAACAGGTGATTTTCTTAGAGGGACACACCCAGAACCTTCAATTTGAAGTTCTAATCCATAAGGCAGTGGAGCAACGTCGGGAGATTTAGTCCCACGGTAGCCGGTGATCAATAATTGGTTCATACGCCATTTGTTTTCTCACGATCCTGGAGTCATGTGCACCATTGGTTTATAATCAGGGTTTTCCAACTCCCCTAAGTGGATCCCAAATGTTGAATTATAGACAATAAACCAATGAGTGAGAAAAAAATTCAAACAATCAAATCAAATACGCTAAAAGTGGTAGTATGTTTAGGGTTTTACATTCACAGAGGTCAGATCAATATCATGAAAGTATCTAAAGCTATATTACATAATGTTTGTGATTGTATTATTTGTCACATTGATTATCTCTAAATTGATTGATATCATAGGTTATGATTCTGATCTGTAAACTAATTGATGTGAACACAATAAGTGTTCACATCCACTTTCATTTCAAATACCAGATCTTATTGTGATTTTAGAGATATCGGTTATTAATATCACACACTTAATTATCAGCTATCAACAAGATTTATTTTTGATGAAATAAATAAACTAGTGACAAAGAAATTGGTTGAATATCCTATGAATCATTAATGAACTATAATCAGAATAAACTTTACTGAACAATTCACTATTATATATATATAGTTGAAATCATGATTCAATTGAAGCTAGATCATCATGGAAAACCTGGAAGAACTGGAGAGCCGTTTCACTATTAATTCATTAGTTTAAACTAACTCTTTAATGGCAAACAAATTCATTGTCGTTAACGGATTAATGTCAGTAATTTGGTTGCAGCTCCTGTTTCAGATTAAGATTAGCTATTAACCCACCGAAAAGTATAGACGAGCTTTGGCTCCGATTGCACGGAAATGGAAAGTAAAGTCGCTTGTCACTTCGCGAAACATCCCTCCTATAGACACTGGGTTTTCACAGGCTCCCTACAACTCACTGAAGCACGTTGGTCTACTTCAGATGACCATGAACGAAGATTGTTACGCAATGAAATTGGACAAAGCTTGTGTACGGACCAAGAAGCCTGGTGGTCCGGCTCATTCGAATCACTGTAAGCAAGTAGTCTAGTGTAAGTAAAACAATCTACGAAGCTGATTGGACGCCAATCAGTAACATCTGCCGACATCTTGAACAATGGAAGGAGTTTTTCGAGGAGTAGTTCAACTGGTCTGCCACTCTGGTAGCATCGATCAACTTGTTCTGTCCTCTATGGACGGTGAAGACTGATCCACCTAACGTGGTAGAAGTCTGCAAGAAACTCTAACTCTTTTGGTGTCGCGCATCGATAGGCCCAGGTGACGTACCTCTGGTCCATTTAAGAGGTAATGGCGACCTTCCGTTTAAGGGAATGACTGAGTTGTTTGGAAAAGTATGGGAATTTGAGGAAGTCCCAATATCATGGGATGAGTCGACAGTTGTCCATATCTTTAAAAAGATTTCACGTCGTTTCTACAAGAAATATCGGAGGATAAGTTCACTCCCGATTGGGTCCAAACTATTGGCTTCCGATATACCTCGTAAATTGTTCAAAACTAGAGAAAGATTGACTTGCAAGAAGGAGGATGATTTTTGTCCTGATTGAAGATGTATTGATTATATCTTCACTCTCCGCTAAATCTTAGAACACCATCATAATTATTACGAGCCAACAATCGTAGATTTTCTTGACATTAGGTCCAACTTCGATTCATTGGACAGGACTGTTCTGTGGGATTGTTTCTTGAAGAAGAGTGTGCCTGAGAAGTTTGTTAACATCTTGAAAGCCCTATATACTCACACTCAAGGAAAGTGAGGGCATACAACCGCCTCTCTTCATTGTTTTACTCAGGCAATGAAACTAGGCATGGTTGCTTAATCTCATCATTTGTCTTCAGCTTTACCATTGATTACATTGATGAAACGGCTCTGATGGATGTAGGTAATGGTAGTTTGGATCTGCTGTCTGGAGAAAGACTTTTCGACCTTGATTATGTGGATGATATTGTCTTGCTGTGTGGTGATACCCAAACCATGCAATCCGCACACAATAAGGTTGGCAATCAGTGTTCATAAGTATGACAAGTGCTTTTCACCTTGCAAGTTTAAAGTACTTGTACAAGACTACCAGGATCTCGGACATGCACTCACTCTGGGTAGTGAGCAGATAGAAGTAGTCGAGAAGTTTGTGTGTCTATGAAGCTGAGTAGATGCTGGGGGTGAGGTGAGTGATGGGATCGATTCACGTATAGTGAAAGCCAGAGAGGCTTGTGCCAATCTGTGCCATCTTTTGAGCCTTTTTGATGTTAGTCTGGCTGTAAGCGGTAGGATCTACAACGTCTCAGTGAGAGCAGTTTTGCCGTATGCTTGTGGAACCTGGTCCTTTTGAGTTGGGGATATTGGATGACTCTGTATTTGGTCATTGTTGTCTTCGAGGGACTGCTTACATCCAGTAATAACACCATGCTAGTAACGCAGAGGTTCGGCATCGTGTGTTCGGGCACAGTGACGATAGTTCGGTTGGTGTCACCATCGTGAACACCGACTTCGGTGGCCTGGACATGTATTTCTAATGTCGTTCAAGAGAACTCCATATCATGCGTTATTTGCTGGCTCTGTGACTGGGTGGAAAAAGCGGAGAGGTGGTCAGTGTATGACATGGTGTCGTGATATGACAGAAAGCTGTACAGGACTAGCTTCTGTTGGACCTTCATGACTCCCTGGTTGAGGTCCCAGAGACACTCCCACAATGTGACTTGAAAAGTTATCGGACTTATGCTGAGAATAGAAGCCTGCTGTAACTTCCTTTTACTTTCTTCATAAAAGTGAGGATAACTTCCCTAACGGAAAGGATTCATTCTGGTTGTATTTTTCTTAACTGAATTGCTTCTTTAATTATTATTATTATTATTGTGACTAGTATTAGTATTTCACTCTCATACACTAATTCCTATTCATTCATTCTTTTTTTAAATTATACTCACCTTCCTTTCTTTATCTCATCTTGACTTCATTTTTATTGTGCACCACATGTATTTGGGTGCCCTTTGCGTAAATGTTAATGCGTTTAAGTGAATAAATAAATAACTCCAAATCTTACATATGTGCACTGAAAATAAAACGTTTTGGAAGTGTAATACATAACAATCATCATAACTACTTTCCATTATTCATCAAAAGATGAAATGTTTAAGTGTGAGACAGAGGGAGAACGTGACATAATCTGGTTTGATAAACATGTTTACTTTTATATAGTTAAGATCATGAGTCAGTTGAAGCTAGACCACCATCAAAAACCTGGAAACACTGGACGGCCGTTTCGTTCTATTATGAGACTCCTCAGCAGTGCTCATCCACGATCCCGCTCTCTCGAGATTCGAACCCAGGACCTACCAATCTCGAGCCAGAGCCCTTGACTGATAGACCACTGAGCCGGCACCCAATGGTGTTAGTGTCTAACCTCAACCGATCCACGAAATTGCTCGACCAACATGTTTACTGTCAGAAAAATGATATGCTAGAAATTAACAAAAACCCAAACCAAACAACAGTATTGGTGAAAACCATACTACTGTGGTGTGGTCTACTTATATCCATATAAGTAGTATATGATGTGGATCAGGCATAGAATGTATTTTCGCAGAAGACCGATGAAGAAAGAACTGAAATGAAGCACAATCGTTTGGAAAATGCATGAGCAATAGAATTAGAGAAGAAACAGTGAAGATTGAAACAATTGGTTGTTAATTTGCAAATTGACTGTTCATTGTTTGGTTATCAGAATTTACCGAGATAGTCTGTAATGTTTGCTTAAACACATTCGATTGTCCCCAACTAGTGTTCTGTTCACTACACTACTACTAACAATAGTTAAAAAGAGTTTGAGAAAACGACGGCAATTGGATATCTAACTTGTTTAGACGTTAAACGTTTAGTTGAATAATCTCGAAATGATGTGACTGGCTATGCTAATCATAAATAGGAAATGGAAATTTAACTAATTTGAATAGTGAAAGTTTTGTTTTACTAAATAAAGGTAGGATCCAATAAACTAAAGCTAGAGAAGAAAGAAAGAAGCGAGGTGCAGCAGTGATCCGATCATTATGGCAGTGCCAGGAGAACCTTATGTTCTTTTGTACTCATAGGATCAGGTTTAAATGAAGAATAACCGCTGCTTCTGTGTCATATAAAATTGTGCAATTATTCGGTCTGTTTTCTACTTAAATATCAGTCCAACGATCTCCTGAATGGCCAATACCTGATATATGATTCTCTATGGTATTGTTAGGTAGTTTGGAGCCATTCAAAATCGAATTCTTTGAGAAATGTTCTAAATTTCATTTCGATAATATCTACTCTGCTCTTTCAAGTTACATGCTACTGAACAAAATGTAATACCTAATTCTATTCATACAGATTCAGCTAAATAATACCATAAAGCTAGTGTTCATTTGCAAGAGTTTTAAAGTATCTAAACAGTTGATTTGTTGAGTAATTAGACAATCGTAAGAATCTTTATGAAATTTCAGTAGGATTATTTAGTATTTCAAATGATAATGAAGTATGAATTCAGGATGTAAGAGTAAGTGAGTACTTGAAAAGTGTTCTTGATCTTTACGTAACTTTCTTGTGATACTTGAAATGA